TATTATATTGTTTGGTTATATGGTGTGAAGGTATAAAGCACGATACAACCAACATGAAAAGAGCGTTTGTTCCCCCCTCAACATCGCAGGGGAAAAGAGGCCAGGGAAGAAAAATTTTCGACCTAGAATAGAATTCGTTCTTATCTTGAACCCCCCCCCTCCCTCCCCATCATTTCCTCACCACTACCGCCCTTACCCTTCTTTCTAGCCCTCTAAAGTCCTCTGTCTCCTCTTGCCTCCCCCACCACCTCCTCCCCCTTCATTCTTTAACTTTTATCCATTTTGATTACGTAAGATATATTGCAGCAGTCTTAATAATCGAAAAGTCAGTAACAGGGCTCAAGTTTCATTCAATTATTGGTAAGCCTATTTTTTTTTTCATTGTGATTTATTTGAAAATAGGAGCGAGCTAAATTTGACTGTGATGAAAGCAATGATTAGAGCCTAAATAACATCTTTTAAAAGGTCAGAAATAATGAATCAATATATTACTAGATGAAGTCCTAACAGCGAAAAAGACCGTATTCCTAATATATTTGTATGAAAAAATACAATAATAAAATAGAGGAAAGACTAAAATGAGGGGCAATATGATAGCACAAAAAGCCCCACAGAATATCCTTAATGAAAGACTCTCTGTGTGGTAGGTGTAGCAGTGCCAAGTGTTTGCAGAAGAAACATAAGTACAGTTGAACCTGCTATTAAAGCGGACACCTGACCTGTAAAAGACAACGACCTTTACACACGGCTATTTCCATACTTCCACTTCCAGCTTCCGTTCTTGGATATTAAAAAAAAAAAATTAATTAAATGATACCCTGTATGATTGGCCACATGTGTAATACAACCACTCTTCCCCTCGATACGTTTGACTGTCTTAGGCAATTTCGAGGGAATTTATTTCAGGTTATTATTGTCTCTGTTTAGAATTATATTGAGATAATAACAGTGACGAACCCTTTCGCCTTCCACACATAAGCAAGAAAATTAAAATAAAAACTAAAAACACCTCAAAAAATGAAAAATAAAAAACAAGAAAAACAAGAAAAAATAATTTTGTTGAATTAGACTACTCAAAATAAATATGTACAGACAAAAGTAAGTTTCCTGTTTCTAAACTTTTCAAGATCATAATTTACCTGTGATGATCAGTGTGAACTGCACTGAAGCGTCGAAAAACAAGAGAAAAAATGTGTGCAGTCAATTTAAACCCTCGAGGCGGATTCAGAAGTTTGTACCGGTATGTAGAACTGGTACCACCACAGAGGTAAGATCATTCACTTCCTCTTCGTCGCCGATCGCGTTCGCTTTTCCAACTCCGCTGTTTTTTGCGGTTCGCAAATTCCCCGTTGGTTGTCTGTCTTCCTCGCCAGTTCGTTCTGTATGTCTGCCTGTCTTGTCCCTGGCTGTGGAGAAGAATCAGCCGGCCGTCTGTCTATCGTTCTTTCTTTCTTTCTTTACCTGTTCTTCTCTCTTCTCTGGCTGTGTCAACTCATGCCAGCTCCTCGATGATCCTCCGACTTATATACGCTGTCCCCCGCCTCCGGTTGGTGGAATAAGACTGCGGGTGGCCGCGGGAGACCGAGATTTACGTGGGGGAATGCTATGTTAATTTTTCTAATCATTTTAAAGGTATTGATTCCAGCGCACCTCCGTCACTTCTGGCCGGTGGAGGGAGGGAAGGAGGGAAGGCAAGGAGGGAGGGAGGCAGGGAGGGAGTGGCAACTCCGGAAGATTCCTGGGGCGGGTGGGAGTCGCGTCACGGGACGTTGGTGGGTGTGGGTGGACAGAAGACAGATGGTGTGGAAGGTGGGGGAGGATGGG